GGCTCAGCTCTCAGGCTGGCCCCGTCAAACTGCTGCCTCAGGAGACAGGGGCCTCGGGAGGCAAGGTCGGCTTCCACTTAGCCTGGCTACCTCTGGTGTGGAGAGCAGAGCTCCGTGGACAGTTGGAATAACCTAGAACTCCTCTTACCTAACAGCCCTTCGATATTTCTGACCGGAGCTGGAAAAGGCCACCTAATAGAAAAAGCACAAGAGCAGAGCCAGACCCTGGCCTGGAAGGCCAGAGCCCAAATCCTGATGAGAAGCCATCACTGCTCTGCCCTGCCCCTCCTGGACGTGCCAGGAGCAGCCATACAAACAAAAATGACTTTTAGGGCCAAGGGAAGCTGAGCAGGGAGGTCAAAGGTCCTAAAACCCGGGGGCCGGCCACAGGGCATGGGTGTCCCCTCTGTGAAGGAGACGCCCAGCAGCAGCCCCAAGGTGGACCACAGGCCGGAGGGCACAGGGCACAGCCCCACACACCGACCTCTGTGCTGGACCCGAGGCCCACATGCCCCGTGATCTGCAAAATCGAGTTTACATAACAGGCCATGGCATGCCCCAGATGAGGGCGAACAGAGCGGCTGACGGTCCCTGGGGGCAGAGGGCCGGGGGCGGCCAGGAAGGGAGGGGTGAACCAGCACACTCCGTCTAATGACAAAGTCAGTCTGACACTTGTCTGTACTTTAGATCCCTGGCACATTTTTGGGATAAACGAGTAGACACCACAGGCTGCTCTTCTCCACGGATACCAAGTAGCCTGGGGATGAAGGAGGAAAGGGTTTCTTAAAGGGCTTTAAAATTCCAGTTTGAACCATGTAAAGGGCAATTTATTCAGAAATGAGTCGAGGCCATTTTAAACTGCCGTAAGCATGCCCACTGTCTCCCAGCATCCCTGAGAAGCAGGCAGAGGGAAGACCACTAACTGATGGCACAGATAGGGTGCCTGTGGGCCAAGAGGGGGATGAGTCACCGAGGTTGTGCTGGGGCTGGGGGAGACCCAGGCCTGCACGTTCTCAACACAGTGTTCAAGAAAGCCTGGGGGCCGGCAGGTGGCATGGTGAGTCAGACACTAGATCCCACATGGCCAGCCGCAATTCAAGTCCCAGACCAGGTGGCTTGAAAATCACGCCAGGCACATGTGTGTGCATGCCCAGAGTCCTAAGAGGAGACTGCAGGAGAAGGGATTATGGCGTGGTCATCCCCACTGGGGTGATTTTTTACTTTCCCTCTCTATCTGTCTCTCTTTGGAAAGCACATGCACCCTACAGCCAAAACCTTTAAAATATACTTTTTTTTTCTTCTCTAAGTCAGAGAGACAGAAAGAGAGAGGGGAACCAATAGGCCTCACGCTGCAATTCCTTCTCATTACACGTGGCTCGTGGTACGCACAGGCCTAGCACACTCAGGGAGGTCTCAGGGACCCTTTCCACATGGGTCGGCCTTGCCTGGCGACCTCGTGTCCCCACTAGCCCCTGGTCCAGATTCTCTCCACAGCCAGAAGACTAGCTGCGCTCAGATCCACTTTGTAGGCCCAGTCCTGGACACAAGGCCCAAAGGAGCCCCGAAGGGCAGGAAAGTCTGTGCACACAAGGGCCGCGTGGGGTGACCGAGTGCTCTGGCTGAGAACACCCTGGAGCTCCAGGGGCCGAGCCCATCCTGAAAATCTGTATTAAAACGCCAAGGCCACATTCCTCTCCCGGTGAGTACCTGGCTGCCCGGGTCCTCGCCGGACTCCCTCACCTTCACACTCTCAAGGTGCAGGGTGGGCGAGTGCACACTTGAAAGCTGGCTCAGAAGCAGGCCAGATCCTGGTTTGAAACCTGGTTCTGCCACTAACTCGAAAGTGACCTTTGGCAACTTGGCACTATGGTTCATAAAAGGTGTGCTCCCAGTTTCATGTTCTGAAACTGGAATCCTGGTGTTGCGAGGTGGTGAGACCCTTACTAGGGGAGGCCCAGTAGACAGTGACTGGGCCTGCCGGTGCCACGGAGGCGAGGGCAGGGAGCGCTGATGCTCTGGGAAGGCTTAGCTCCCGAGGGGGTGCTGCTGTGCCCAGGTCTATGCACACGCCTGCCGTCTGCCATCCTTGCTGCTTCTGTTGGTCATGGGATGACAGAGCCCCAGAGGCTGGTCTGACGCCGACCCCATGCCTTTGGACTTCCCAGCCACCAGCCTCGTAAACCAAGTAAACCTCGATTCTCCACGAACCACTCAGGCCGAGGCGTGTCTGTTAGCCATGCAGCAGCAGGCAAGGCGCTGGCCACATCACTGCTCCTGGCCTCACGTCCTCTTGGGCAGACCAGTCCACCACGTGTCTGACAGTGGCTGGTGCGGCCCAGATCTCTAAGGAGCTCACCTTCCACAGGGAAGGCGGTAACCCAGGAAACGTCACATGCTGGTGAGGCTATGACCAGGGATAACAGGGTAACAGGATGAAGGGCTGGGAGGCCAGGGCAGGTCTCTCTGGAGAGGTGGAATTTGCACTGGGACCCGTCAGATAAAGCAGCAGTTACTCAAGGATGTGGGGAAGATGAAGACAGGCAAGAGCAGAAGCAAAGGTCCTGAGGCAGATTGAGAGGGTGGAGGGCGAGGGAGGTGGCAAGCAGGGAGTGAGGGCTGGGGGTGGGGGCAGGCAGACAGGCAGCTGTGGGTACAGACTCAGTGTTGGTTTGGTCACACTGAAAAGTAACTAGAAATGAAGGAATTTCATATACAGTGTTCAAACTTTGTTTTAGCAGTAGAACTCTTTAGTGAAATAACAAGTAGGGCATGAACACGACCAGTGGGAAGCTGGTTAAAGCCTTCTGAGCCAACGCCCTCTTGGCCTCCCCTTGCCCCACAGTCCTTCCAAGCTAAGAAGAGCCGGTGGGGAGGTATCGCTGGCTTCCTCAGTGTCCCACACACCCAGTACACAGGACAGCCCTGCAGGGAGAGGAGGTGGAGGAGGCACGGCTGATGCCTGTGGGCCCAGGACAGCCCTGAGAAGGTTCTGAACTAAATCCCTGACATGCGGGAGCTTCTTACAGAATCCGCTGTGAAATCTGGTTCATCGAAGGCTCTAGTTAAAACCACGTTGCTAAAAAGCCACACTGCTGAAACTATAGAGACAGAAATTTGCTCGGTGGCTGGGCGTGAGGGGCACAGGAGCTCCTGGGCTGACGGATGCCACCCTGGGTGCAGTAGCGGGTTCAAGTATGTTTGCCGGTCAGACGCACAGACCTGTACACGCACGTGGGCAAAGCTCAGCACGCGTACGTTAAACTGACTTTTCATTAAGTCACGGTGCTGGAAGGTAACAAAGGCATTTACAGAAGAGACAGGCCTGGAGAGGGGACATGACCTGCAGCAGCCGCGGCCACAGGGGAGGCCTGGCTGGGATTCCTGCCAACCAGAACAGGCCAGGCCAGGGAGCGCTTGTACTCCCAGCTAGCTGAGACGCCACAGCCCCCTCTCCCGCCTTCCCTCCTCCCAAGGCACCCCTCTCCATTTTTCTCTCTTAAAAGAAAACAACTAGGCTGGATGCTGGCGCAGCAGTGAGATGTGATCTCTGAGCCCGACCGGGATGGGAAAGTTCTGATCTGCATCCAAAGACTTCCCCAAACGCACCTGGCACACGTGCCCACGATCCCGGCTGGCTAGGCCAGGATAGACTGCATGTCAGAACCCCGTGGGTGCCGTTTGTCTCTCGTTCAAGGAAGAAAGCAGTAAAGAAACATGACTTTCTCTGGCTGGGCCAGCTGCCCCTCAAGCCTCTCTCCAGTGGGCTGGGCTTCAGGTCCCCTGACTGCAAAACGAGGAGGCAAAGACTGCCACAGCCACAGGCTTCTCCACACCGAACAAGCAGGCCCTGGACGCTTGCTATCAGGCATGGCCTCGATGCTCTGGAGTCAGAAACGGGAGTGCCTGCCCTGTCCCTCCTTGGCTGTGTCTGCCCAGGGCCAGTGGGAGTGACACCCTCCAGGCAGCAGGCAGCCACCTCTAAGCAGCAGACTCACATCTGTCTCTCAAGGGTGGCAGCTGGGATGCTGAGAGGGTCACTACAACCACAAAGTTCTGCTGCGGAGGTACCACAGCCCACCAGGGGCCTCCTGGGGAGCAATCCAGACCAGGAGGGAGGGACAAGGCAGGGCCCGAGTGCCCTGCGGACAGAGCCCTGCTGGAACCCAGGGAGACCCTGCCGCCACCCGCACTCAGGAAAGGCCTGGGTGTGTGTCTCCACATCCACGCCCCTCTGCAGGCATAAATGCATCCACCACCTCTTCCTGGCCACCCTCTGCAGAGGCCTGGTCAGAGCTGCCCTCCTACCCCTGCTCCTTCCATCCCACAGGGACCAAAACACACAGAACCCAGAAGACTGGAAAACAAACCCTCTGGCATGGTTTCTGCTTCCGCAGGGGTGGACTCCAGACCCACTGTGGTCCACACCGCACATTCACCCCTCTACAATGCCCTGGAGGTATGGGGTTTCACAAACACCAAGACTAAGTGCTCTGGGAAGGCAACAGTGGCCCTAGGCTGCCCTGAGAGGCAGTGCAGGCTGCAGGAGGCTCCAGGGTGGCCCAAAGTCCTAGCTGGACTTGCAAAAGGAGCCATCCCCTGCCTGGGTGCCCCACCCCCGCCCGCGCTGTCAGGATGTCCCGCGCAGGCTATCTGGGCACCGGGAGGGGATGGAGGACCTGGCACGTGCAGTCCAGCAGAGTCCAGGCCTGGCCCTCGGACTGCAGCTGGCCCAGCAGGGCCTCCTGACTTCCACCTTGCTGGAGTCAACCTTCCACCAACCCGCGGGGCAGGGCAGGGCGGCCAGCAAAGTTCCACCCGGTCTGGAGAGGCTGCGGGAGGCGTGGCCAGGCCGGAAACTGACGAAGAGTTTCGGCCCTCGGTCCTGGACGCCACAGCTTCCTGGTGGCCGACCTCGGGCGGGGCCCCTGGGGGTCAGCCCCCCCCCGGCCCCGCGGGACACAGGCTGGCCTGCCCGGCGGGGCGGGGGTCGCAGAGCCCACCTTGACCCGCTTGCCCTGCACGTCCAGCGTCTTCATGGTGAAGTCCACGCCGATGGTGCTGCCCTGGCGCTCCGCGAAGGCGCCCGTCTTGAAGCGCTGCACCACGCACGTCTTGCCCACGCTCGCGTCGCCCACCAGCACTAGCTTGAACAGGAAGTCGTACTGCTGGTCTGCGTCCCCAGGGACCGGCCCCGGTCCCGCCATGGCC